TGAAGGGTGAACAGTTGGTAAATCTGCTTGATAAGTTAGATGGACATAATCTCTTCCCTACTGCATGACCAGTGCTCATTCCAAAAAGGTTACCAAAATTCCATATATAAAAGCAATATGCTTTGATGGATTTTTAAAAAACAAAAATCTTGATTTACCACCCCATTCCCAAATGAAGGGTTTAAGTATATGTAAGAACTCAGTACTAGAAAAGCTATGTGCACTATGTCTCCTTGCACCTAAATTATGCACTAAGGAAATGATTTCTTCATGCTGCATTTTGAGTCAAACATGTAAAGAGCAGAAAATAAGCAGCAGCTGACACAATATCATATGTATGTGAGCCACACTTAGATGTGATAGTCAAAGTTCCAGGTCTTTTCCATAACCATCTAGAGTCAGGTGGTGCTGTAGTTAGTTCTGAAGTTGGGGCACTCATCATGATGGTTCCTCCAGTCACACTGGTCAAATCTGCAAGCAGCACTACTGTGAAGGCAGATGAACAGATTAATTCTAGCAGTTTTCACCTCTTCCAGAAGTGGGTGCTTTGTAATGCTAATAGGCTTTAATTGTCTGTTCAAGAAGAGGCCAGTTCAAAATACTTGGCATTGCAACAGGGATACCTAACAACTATATAGTCATACTTTTTTGTAAACTGTTCTGGGAACCATGTATGGCTGTTCAATGATATATAAAAACAATGAATGAATGAATGAATGAATGAATGAATGAATGAATGTGTCCCTGAAAAAATGAATTGCCTATCTCTAGGTAGCTCCTGTGAAGATTGCAGCTAAGCTCAGAGGGAACGGGCATATCTGAAGGGCCAGGATGTTCTGGGTGGGCGTGTGTGTCCAGATGATGTAAAAAAACTACTGGTGTTCTGTTCCTTGCAGCCCTGGCTCCATTTATCACTTCACATAAAGTGGCTGTATGTATACAGTAGGCTCTAAAAGCAAAATGGATGCATAACCTCGAAACCTTCTCCCCACAATCTGTGGATGCACCAGACAAAATTGTTATTGTCTCTCTCAAACTCCACCCAAGTACTACTACTCGTAAGCCCAGTACCACCTAGTGATGAAACTATGCGATAATTCACACCATCTCAGCTCCCCTCAACCCCTTAGTGAGAAGTGATTTAAACCAGGAGACATAATTTATAGTGAACTATGTGGCAGGAGTTAACTCTGTTCTCATCAGAACTCTGTTTAAACAAATCATTCCATCAAGTTTGGCCCTGGGCTGCTGTATTCGTCATGAATTCGTCATGAAATGGGCTTGGCCCAGATCCATGGAATTCTGAAGGCTTCCTGTGTGGGGAATATTAACATCCATACAGCACCTTTCCTTGCTGGGTAACAGTTGATGCAGTGAAAGGTTGAGGCATGCTCTAAGCAGGGGCAGCATGAAGGGTAGGAATTGTGGGGGACCAGCCAAGAGACCATATCCCAGCAGAGGCCACTGGCAAGAGTCTTCTACTTCACAACCTGCATGTTCGCCAGCTTCTCATGCTGATGCAGATAAGGGTGCTGGTGAGGAGGAGGAGCACTTCATGCTACTGGCTGCTTACTCTCTACCTGTCAAATAAGAAATCGGCAGCAATGAGGTGAAAGATCAGGAGGATCAATGTTGCTGGTGATAATGGTGTTGACAAAGGAACCTGATGTTCAACATCCCTGTTGTATGGGCACAATCCTATGGGCTGTGTCCGCTATGCTCATAAGCCCAAGATTTTGGAGGTTTGCCATCTTTTGCAGAGCAGACGAAATGGGAGAGGCAGTCTTAACTTATCTGTTTTCCCACTCCACATTTTCATTAGACAGGCTTTGTTGCTCCTTCAGCCGAACTGCTTTGCAAGGGGAGGGAAGAAGGCTAAAAAAATCCCATAACATCTTGCATCCTGGCCTCTCCAGGTTCTTCCCAAACACCCTATTTGCCCCTCACTGAGTTCTTGACCTTAGAAAAGCAGCTGTTGTGGTTCTTTTCACACCAGTTGCAAAGGGGATTTGGAACAGATCCCTGCCAAGGTTAAAGCACCCTCTCTGACCACATGTCTGAGAGTCTAAAATATCCAATAGTCCTTTCAAAAGCTGCCTAGGAGCCACAGGATTGCCCTGCTCCTCCCAAGAGAAACAATTCAGAGTACAGGCAAACACATCTAAACCAACATAAGTACCATTCCATTCAGTTTAGGCTTACTCCTAGGTAAGTGGGTATATAATTGGAACCTTGAGTGTAGTCAATACTGTACACAAGCTATGCTAAAAACAACAGTGACTGATAAAAATAAATGTCCCTGCAATACAGACAACAAGTATGAGAGCCTTCTATCTCAAGGGACATATAATCTAAAATACACACAGGTAAACAGCAGTGGAAGAGGAAATGGGGAAGAATATGTAATTGTTTCAGTTATGTTACTCCACTTTGTTACCGTTCTGAGAGCTCTATGCTAATGAATGGGATATAAAAACCTAAATAAATAAATACAGTAATCCAAAAACTGTTTGGATGATCCAAAGACGTCTCAGAAAAGGTTACTTTTGAGGAGCAACTCAATGGAAATAAGGGGGCCAGCTGCACACTGGCTTTCTAGGTGGCATTTCCAGGCATAAGGGGTAGTCAGGGCCAGGGCCCAAACCTAAGCTAAAGAAAGCATGGTGATGAAATACAAAATGAAGCACATAGGTGAGGCTGTGTAGAACAACATGGACCACTATCCTACCACCAAGGTAACATTTGTACCCCTGGCTAATTTAGTAGCTGACCTTGAGGGAAATACTAATGGATATTTGGCTGCATGGAGCTTGGACTATCTATCCTTTCATGCTGAACAAGCAGACTTATAGGTATGCCACAAAATAAAATCAATTTGATTCTTATTTTCTGAAAGGTAAGTCAAAGCTCCAATTTTATATTAATGCTGTATGATAGAAAGGTCTAAAATCTATAGCTGGAGGAAGCTACAGGATCAAGGGCATCTTCATAGCAACAATCAGTAAATGCAGTTAAGGATCCAACTCATTAGCACAGAACTAACTTGTTACAGTGCTGCAGTAGTTGAAAATGTGAATTCAGAAACCAGAATTGTCTGTGACAAGTTTACTACCACATGTTCATCTTGTCTTTGTCATAATATCTATCTCTTTTCCCCAAGCTCTTGTATTTTTCTGTAACAATCTCTGAGAAAATATTCTAAAATTTATACACACAGACACAAACCATGCATACATTTTGCACAGTATATATTAATGAATCATCTATTATTTGGTGCTGAAATCCAGAATTTTGTATATGTAGCCATATTTGATCCATAAAGCTGTTGGGAATAGATGGAATCTGTCTCACTTCATCTTAAGTCAGGCCCTTAATAGCCTTTTAATGCAGTTTTTAGTGAATTATTTATTAAGCTGATACTTTCATTGATGATCATAGGCAACTCCCACAGAAATCAGTGAGGCCTTTGAGTGCAAATCAATGGCAGCATTTAAAGGTACCGTCAACCTTTGATATATTTCATGCAAATCAATTCAAAACTAATTTAGACATAATTTAGATATGACCTTTAAATTTTGCATAAAGCTGATTTTTTCCCCTGAAATGAAGTTTTAAGCATAAGTGTGTTCCTACTTTCAACGATATACTTGTACAATAGAATTTTGTCAATGGAGAAATTATATTTCTCAAAAAGCATCCTAACAGCTGGCCTTGTTTTTCATTACTTTTCACTGGACGGGTTCACAGGCAACACCAAACCTAGGTTGCTTAGCTGTATTTTTAAACCCAGAACACTGGCTTGCCTATTTCACAGGTTCCACATCTAGGTTCTAATTATGGCTCATCAAAGAAGAGATTTCCAGGTTTGGACAACTGGGTTCTGAGTCATGATAAACAAGGTGGGAATGGAGAGTTCCCACTTCTTTGGCAGCAGGAGGCTTGACTACAGTTACTACTTAGGTTCGCTTGTTCAAAACAACCCAGAGTTTTAAAAAACCCTGGATCATCATTGCATATGAAACAGGCCATTACGTGCAAGGAAGGTGGCTGCTGTTTTTAAATTAAGTTAGAGAAGTGAACCATATCTTACTCAGGGAAAATTTATGGAGCAACATTAAAGCTAGTGTAAATTAACATATAACACTGCATGAACCAAATACTTCGTTAAAATGTTCAGCACCTTTGGAAGTCAATTAATTGATTCATAAGCTGATTTATTTTTGCCAGAAGAGGAAAAACACCTAAAAACAACTAATGGCTATGAATTATCAAAATACTTGCAGTCCAAGTCTTTTGGAGTGCAATCAGAGCAAACATATGTTAATGTCTGTCAGAAATAAATTTTCATGCTATTTTAAGTGCCATTGTTCTATAAGTATGCATAAACACACACATATACACAAAGACATACGACTTCTCTGCTGATTCCTAACATTCCCGTATGCTATAAATATGTGTCATATTCAGTGGTGCCCTTTTTTTCACCAGCAGATTGGACACTGTTAGTGGATCAAATTTCCTTTCTCCTTCTGCAGGCCACTTCATGCCTTCAAAATTTGCTTCAGACAATTGTGGAGCCTTCCAGATCAGGTTTACTGGAGGGGGAAGGAAGGAAAAGGAAATTCCTATTGTGCAGGTGCAAGTGTGCTCTAAAATTTAGTCTGCAGAGATAATAGTTCTGTTCCCAGTGACTGAAAAGTGCTACTGAACTCATTGGGCCTCTTAGTACATCCCAAGAGTTCACTGTGGGTTAATTTACTTACAGTAGGTGCTGCATTCTGCCAGATGCTTGTGAGCATCATTTTTGGTTGCCTCATCATGGCATAAAACCAGGCACCTCAAGCACCCCTGCCTTCTGAGCTTGTAAAAGCCATAGCAGGTTAGGCACTCTTGGCACCATGCAAAAATTCCCTGGCTCACATAATATAAGAATTAACTTCTGAATAAACATGTATAGGATTGTACTATGAGTTATACTTCATAAATGATGCAGAAGCATGTGGAAGTAAAAATTGACTTTATTAAAGCAAGGTACAAGCAAAGGAAAACAATTCAAATTTATAATGTACAACTCAAGAAGCCACAGCACATAAGTTGTTTTTGTTTTGTTTTTTAGAAACAGCTTGAAGGATTCAAACACTGTAAAGTCTTGTTAACCCTAGAATGGATATTATGAGTCATATGACGTATTTATGCCTTTAGAATCCAACCAGTGCCCAACTAATGCTGCCTCCAATCACTCTCATGAAGCAAATAAAATAACGTTATGTCAATAGTTAGTCTGAGTGAACAGAAATAAAGGGGCCAAACAATGAGGCAGTCAATTAGTCACTTCATATTTGGAAATTGTAAAGCTCTTCAGAGAGAATGAAAGATGACTTTAAAATGTTAAGTCCCCCTCCCCAAACTGCCATAGGCACAAATGGTTAGTTTGCAAGAATCATATCAATTTTAATAGGACACTGTCTTGTTTTATCATAAGTTGGAGTCACAGAGAAAGTCAACACAGCAAAAATGGAATCATTTCAGATTTTAAAAAAAATCCCTTGAGGACAGCAGGTCACTTTAGAAGGGGAGTTATTTATTATTTGAGATTACTGGCCTTAACAGAACAACAAAATATCTTGAGACACCTTGAAAGCCAACAAGTATTCTGACATCAGCATCTGTACCAAAATTAATTTGTTCCTCCTTAAGGTGCCACAAAAACCTTCATTGTTTTTGCTGCAATCAACTCAAGAATTAATGGGCTTGTTCATTAACCAAGGATATGCTACCATTTCATGAGAACCAGGTCTATTTATAAGAATATCATCCATAAAAGGTGATGTGTTGAAGCAGAAACATAACTGTTTCATTAGAGTAGAAATGCCTAATTTCTGTAATCTAGGGGGCCTGACAATAGTCCCCTGAGGCCAAAAGCTGCACAAAAGGGGCCTCATTGTCAGTGTTGAAGGGAACCCCACCTCCCTTGTGGCTGAAACTATAATCACAGTTGCCTTAGAGGATGCAGATGCAGCTGCCTCCAAGGGAGTATGGGTTTCATCCATGGTTGAATGAGACCAACGCCTCACTTGTGGCTGAAACTCTAAAAGGAGCTGTGGCACTTGAGGACAAGATTGCTTTTTATTATTTTCTGATGCAACTGAGAAGAAAAGTAGAGCCTTGTCTACCTGCACCAGGCAAGCAATCCCCTTTCCGGGAAATACTTATTTTGGAACAAAATTCCAAAATATTGTACAAACTTCCAAGTTCTCCAGAATTTTTAATGCAGCCATGATGTTTGTGCTTTCTGCTTCTTCCCTCATTCTGTTTTTTGTACTACCTAGCCTGAGGAAGACTTCTGAAAACCTCAGAAGTTTGCACGAGTTTGTGGAACTGTGTTTGTCTGTTTGTTACAGGTTGTATAAACCACTCCATCTCAAGTTTTCAGCCCTAGGCATACCAAGTTAAAGCACTAAGTACAAAAAACAAAACAAAAACCCCTCACTAAAATCAAAAACAATGGGCTGAGTTTCTGCTTTAGTGATATGGTACTGTGTTTTTTATATTATATTGGCAGCAATGTTATTCATATTATTTTTAGTGCATATGAGCTACTCAGAACTCGGCTCTGTTGCTGGACAAGCAACATGCAAATGTCAAATCAAATATGGTTCCATAATAAAGTTGACATCATGGGAAAGAAGAGAGGGAATGGAGCAAATGAACTAATGTTTATGCTCCTGACCTTCACCTCTGCTACCAAGTCTTTTAGCTTTTCTGGTTGCCTTCATACAAACAGCTTTTTATTGTGTGATTTTGTTGTCCCTAAAAGATTTCTTCACTGACCCTTCCAACTAGCTATATGGGGTAGTATGGTAAGACAACTGAGCATGAGATGAAAATCAAAGCATCAAAGTTTATCCAACAGTAAATTTAGTTTTTACTAAATTGCTGACTTGAAAAAGAGGAGTTAGATATTACACTGTTATTTCTAGAAATAAAAAAATAAAAAGCAATTATATAAAAATGTTAAATAGATCTCTCTCTAGTGTAGTCCATTTCTTGGCTTAAGCTAAGATCTAGCAATAAAACAGTTTCTTTCTGCACATTCTAGTCATTGGCTGGTTACTCTGCAATACTTTTTATACTGAATTCTCTTGCTTTCTGGCTGTCTTCCCTTCTGAACTTTTCAACAACACCCCTGCTTATCTATACCTTTACATGCATGCTCACTCTCCTTCACTTATATTTACTCTTCTAAATCTCCCTTCTCAGCCAATCTGAAGAACTGTAGAATTTAGTCCAGTTTCCAATTATCATAGAGGCTAGTTTTCTTCTCCCCATTGGCCCTAGGCCAATCAAGAATGAAACCAAAAAATAAATAAATGGCTGGGCAGTTTCATACCTTCTCCTTGAGATACAATGGCATGCCCAACACTGTTCAGCAAAATTTATGCCTGAATCAGGATCTTGTCCTGATGCACAGGAGGAGAATCTTATTCAGCATCTGTACATTACTCATCAAGTACAGATTTGATCTTAACAAAGAAAGGCATCTATCAGTTTTTCCCTATCTGGTACCTGGCAGATATTTTTGAGAACAGCTTCCAGCTTTCCTGACTGTTGGTCATACTGTCTAATGCTGGTGGGAGTTACAGTCTGAAACTTCTGGAGGGCACCAGGTTTTAGGAAAGCTGGTCTGTATTATATAAATTTTGCTAACCTTATCTGACTTTACCCATAAACTAATTTATCAGGCAATGCTTTTGTCTCAACTTGATAGAAACCACAAGATTAATAAATGAGATGGTAACATGCACTCACTGTCCATCAGTTCAATTCACCACCAGATGGATTACAGCTTAGCATTCAGATAGGTAAAATGAGGACATCACAGCACTGAATTAAAACTCATACAAGCAGCCCCAATCACCAGGGCAGTGGCAGCTTATGAGATTAGCCCCACCTGGCCAGATGCCCAAAATGTCATGATCCTTCTCATCCCTGTGACAGAAGAGAATCTTCCGGGTCTGTCAGGCTACAGGGAGGAGGGAGAGAAAGGCTACAAAGACTGACAGCTTTCCTTTAGAACTATAATTGTTTCATTATAACTGTTAAACATCTTCCCTATGACAAATTAAATTGCTGCATGAAATGGTGCCAATCAGCATAAGTAAATTACATTTTCAATTATTATGCTCTGAGAGTTGTGCTACACAGAGACTGCTTATCAGGAGATTATGCTTCCCTTTGCTCCTTGTTGTGGCAAAGGGGCCATTTCATTAAGATCCACTGGGAGACCATTGGTATCAATAGCAAGAAAGAGTTATCTAGTCATACCAACTATGGTCAAGTCTAACCCAAAAGCTCCAGCAGGCAACAGATGGATTACTGAGTTCAGGTGCCTAATAGAATACTGCACAGATCTCTGGAAGGAGGGTGCGGTGAAGAAAGGAGATAAAAGTCAGCCTTAACATTTTTGTTCATTTCTGTTTTCATATCTTCCTTTTAAAATTTAAACCATATTTTATTTAAGTTGCTCATTGTTGATATTGTTATTATCACAATCACCATCGTGTATTAGTGAATGAGAAATTCAGCTGGACATAAAGAGCAACAGAGTAATTAAAGCCAGACACTGGCACTGCTAGGGAACTGAAAATGGCTAAAGGCCTATTCAGCCATTCTGAACCTGAATAAAACAAACATGTGGGGCTCTCCAGGCAAGCAAAAATGTTGGAAAATCAGGATTCCTGCTTTCATAGAGAGCCTCCACAAATACAGGAGTTTCTTTTCTTCAGACTGCTGCACTTCACAAATACCAAGGAGGACAAGAGACAATTACAGTGATGCAGATGGGGTGGGACTGGAACATTCCCTTTCCTCATGGATTTGCACTATTTGGGTTCAGAATGCCTGAATAGGGCTTATTTAAAGGGCTTAGCCAAGTTGAACGAAATAACTAATTAAAGGACCAGTAACTGCAATGAAATAACCACATTCAGAAAAGGGGTTCAAAGAACAACAACTTGTTCAGACTGTTAACCACAAAACATGGAACTTCTGCTGAATGAAGCTTACTTCTGAATAAACAGATATTGGGACCTTGATTGTGGGATTCTTACAAGTAACACATAATAAACCGTTAAATGAACAATAATTTTTAAGCCTGTTTCCAGTTGTGAAAGAGCAATGTCTCAGTGGCACTAATGGGCCTTCATGTAGAAGAAACTATATATTCTGGCATAGGTCTTATTCATTTTATAGTTGACATTTCATGTCCTTCAAATGACTCTCTGGATTTCTTTGTAGATCTCCTATCTTCTCTAGAGCTCTTTCTTTTGAATCCTTCCTAGTATTTGGTCTTGTCTTTGAATTGTGTTATCCCACTTGGTATACCATATTTCTAAATACAATATTAGCATTTGAAATCCTTCCATTAAGAAAACTGAAAGTGCTATGGGTCTGCTGTGCTGTATCCACTGAACTGGTTCACACATGCATTTACTTGATCACTGACTGCTCTGCCTAATATTATGGTAGACATGAAACTTCAAAAACAGGTCACCCACCCAACAGCAGTAAAATTTTAATGGAGCAACTACAAGCAGAAGGGATGTTGAACTTCTTTCTTACATCTTGGGATGAGGGTATGTAGCATGCCTTCCTCTATGCACATTCAGCTGACCATTCAGATCCTTAGACAAGGCCTTGCTGGCCACTCAATGATCAATGGAAGGTTGCCATTTGAGCTCTGAACAGCGGACCTTAGTAGTGGCTCCAGACTGCTGTTGAAGAGGCAGAAATTAGGGGGAGTTTTAAATGCCTCCTGAAAAAATCTGTTGAAACAAGCTTTCTCTCATATGTAACACAAACAATGGTGCCACTCTGTTGGATTATTTTCTATCACTGTTTAAAATTTATTCAATTATTTATTTTTCCTGTATGTGTAACTATTTTAATGGAGTTCATAAAACACTTTAGCATGTAAACCACTTAGGTATTTTGTTATATCCAGGAATATACAAATATGGTTAAATAAATAATAAAAATTCTGCCTACCATTGCCTATTCTACCCACACAATTTTTCATCCCAAAAATCCCCCCCCACACACACACACACCTGAAGGAAAAAGTATTTGGTCCAGAAAAATGATTGGGAAACCTTGTCCCATTACTTCTCCATTGTAAACCTTTAAAAACTTAGGCCTGCTGCCATGTGACAGAGTTCTGCCCTTTGCACTTGGTCATTGGCAGCTGAATGTGTGAACTGACGCTTGCATTGTCTGTAAGATGACATTCTATTAGATGGAAGTCCTGCTAGTGGTATTAGATGTCATGAGTTTTGAACCAGGTAGTCTGGCCACATTACTATCTGTGCCATGGGAGCTTTCAGCCAGACAGTGCTTCTGGTCCAATCTCTGCTGCCCTGTAGCAGCACCATGACAATGGCCAAAGATGGTGCTATGGCTTTGTCATCCCAGCTAGCCCAGGTGCCCTGGGAACCACTGGGGGCCGGATGGGCAGTAAATGTCCACCGTGCTTGCTTTGCAACCTCACTGCAGCCCATCTTAGGCCATGGTATCTGCCTCTGTGTGCAGAACCTGACAATTCCATTTGCCAGAGACCCTGCCGGGTCTCTAGATCACCATTATTAATGTGGGTTTTACCTGCTATAATCTCTAGCAATTCCTCTTGAGTTCCATGTGCTTTCTTCATAATAGCATGTGAAAAGATGTGCCCACTGTGACATCCAAGGTCTGTAATATTCTTGAGTAAGATCCATAATTTGATTTTCTGGATTTTGAAGTAGGTATAGCTCTTTCTTGGGACGTATCTCTCCCTTTCCACTGATTTGCAATAATAACATTAATGAAAATCTTTTGGCTGTGTAGCGTGTTTTAAGGGAGATATTAATTGTGATTCATTTAAAAACAGCCATGGATTAGTCATATCCCACCAAAGGCAAGTTCTCATACTTTCTGTGATGATAAAGCATTTCACTGTGTGGGGGTGGGGGGGGTGGGAAAAAGAAAATTACTACCCACAGAATTGCAACATCACTGCATACATGCCCTGTGGAACACTCAGAATCCCACAATGTCCCTCTTCGTGATGTGTTACACAAAACAATATTAAAGGTCACTGAAGTGTCAGCTGGTGATTTCATCATGTGTCAGGCCTCCTACTAATAAGTGATTCATCTTTCTAGTGCTGACACCTCAAAGCACTGTAGGGAAGGAGGGAGGGAGAAAAACGTCAGAAACTTGATTAACATTGTTCTAATACCTTTCAAATAATTTTCAAAACAAGAACATACAGAATTGGAGGATAAAATATTTTTAAGTATGAACATTTTTTTGTATGAAAAACAGGTCTCTAAAAGCACAATCCTATAGGAAAAATCTCAACTCTGACTCTGGAAAAGCACTCTGAGGTAAGACTCTGATGTCAAAGTACCCCCTCTCCACTGTCATAGACTATACAGTTCTTTGTGCCAGCTGCAACTCTGAAGTTATTTATTTACATATTCATTTACTGACATATTCATAAACTGCCTATAATTGCCAAGGCCTTCCTAGGCAGCTTACAATGTAAAACGGACCAACTCTCTGAAGTTGTAAGATCTGATTTGGAATGGGTGATGGGGGAAGAGCAAAGGCACTGCAGTCATATGAGAAGTCCTGGTGGTGTCTCCAGTTCCACCTTTTGCATGCCAGTGTAAAATTTAAATAACTGAATTCGGGGAAGAGGGAAGTGTAAAGGAAATTCTTGCTTCCACACTCCTGCCCCTCACTGAATGCCCATCATCCTCCAGGTTCAGAGGTTTAGATTTAGCTACAATGAACTACACTTTACAGAAAGCATATGTAAGCTATCTGTGCAGTGGAAATAGGCTTGTTTTATACCAAGAATATACAAGCTCAAAGTTCTTAAAACAAGAGATTGCTAGCTGCAAACATCACAGACAAATCTAGAGACCTCAGGGTCTATTTATGTGTTTGTTGTATTCACGTTTATGTTATCAAAATTGCTGTCCCTACATCTAGGGTAGAGGTAGGTAATGTACCCAAGAGCACTAGTGTGCGGTTGGACACTTTTCTTGGCACTCACTGAAGTGTCCTATTTATGCTTAGGATCATGTACCTCAGTTGGTTAAGGCATGCTGGTAGCTGTAGGCATTTATTTTTGTTTAAACTTGCATGGATTCCCCATGTAGTCTTATTTATATTAATAAGCAGAATCTATTTAAATCCAGTCACTTAGGGTGCAATCCTATGGCCTTCAAGACTTACATGCATTCAAAGCATGGTGCATGGAGAAGTGCTCACAATCTCCACTGCCCCAAACCTTGTGCCCTGCATTTTATCTAGATGGCCATTTCAGCCATCTAGATGAAGCATGGTAGAAAGGGAGGAAGGATACAGCATAAGCTGTTGGTCCCAGTTTCTTCTGCTCCGTCATACTTTTTCTCCTGTCTAGATGGATTTTTGACCCTGGAGATATGACTAGCGTGGTTCTTTCCATGTCTGCTGCAAAGTGGAGGGCTTCATGTCCAAAGACCCAGCTCTGAGGTCGAACGACCTCAAAACTAGATTTCCTAATAATCCTATGCTTTCCCCAGATAATGTTAGAAGGCCATAAAATTGCATCCTTTAATTTACTGGTTTGAGGATCACAGTGTCACAGGTGATCTCACATAGATAATTGACAGCAGTGCAGACTTTATGCACCTTATCTTGGTGGAAACTGTGTATGATATATCCTAATACTAAAAGTACTGTCTGCTTTTTTTGGTCTTGCATTCTTACAAATATTTGATAAATAGCTCTTAGTGGAACTGAACAATTGGATTAATAACCCGAGTTCAGAGATATAGAATGGTTCAGTCCTGAAACAGATTTTTTTTTTTTTTGCTTCTGAACTTTCACCACAATAACTGAAAGAGAACAAAGGTGTTAAGTGAGATACAAGAAAAACATTATGATTTTTATCAAAAGGCATGCATATTAATAACTTACAGTTGTCACAAATTCCATTGCTTTAGAGTCTGTACAATCATTCAGCTGTAAAATTCAACCCTTGAGGTCTAGGAAACTGTAACAAAACGAAGACAAATAACAGGAGAATGAAGTCATGCTCTTTATCCCATTTTCTAGAGAGAAATATTAGGTTAAAATAACAAATTTGCTCCAAATTTGGTCTTGTCAGTTGAACTGATTGCCTACCAGTAGAGCTGCTACAGATAGAATTAAAAAATACACCTGCCATATCTTTTGGCTAAACACGAAAACCAAATGTGCTATGGCTACAGTCAATGAAATAGTGGCAAACACAGCACATATAGGACTTAAACCAATGTTATGTGAACAGATGTCCATTCACATTATAGTAGCTTCCCTTCCCCTCTTCTACCATGCAGTTCCTTGCATTTCCCAAATTTGCTCAGACTCTCCAGGGCTGATTAGGAGGTTATGCAAGGGAATATGAGGATAGGGGTAATTCAGTGCTCCAGCAGTTTCTGTTCTGTTGGTGGAAGACGTATTTGGATTCAACAGATTACCATGTTATGAAGAGGATTATTTAGACAGCATTAAAGGTCACAATACTAAGTCTAGAAAACAAACATATGATCAGTTTAGCCATTCACACAGTTATGATGATCAATACATCACATCAATCACTTATTTGTTAGTTCAGATCCAGTGCCTACTCAGAAACAAGTTGCAATTATTTCAGTTTTGTCTCTTTCAAAGAAAATCTCATTTCAAACTTTTAGACTTCAATTCTATACTAACTTGTCTGGAAGTTTCACCTGATTATGCATGCTTAAGGTCAGACCATAACCCATATACAAATACACTTGGAAATAAATCACACTTGGGGTCAGTGGGGGCATGTATCGAACTGAACAAGTTTATGGTCTGCCTGTATACCTAAAACTTGGATGGTTGTTCAAATCATGAAATGTAGCCTTTGCTCAGAAACTGATGTGGTTAATCCTGCAAGCAGTGAAATGCTAGCTGAAAGAGGGAATTTATATGCAGGAACATTTTTGTGGGGCAAGGTGAGAGATGATAAAAAAGGATAAAAGATTTAAAACAATTCTATTGCAAAATATTTAAAATTCTATTGCAAAATATTGTTCACTTTCCAGTTCAAATCAGTAATAGGCCTAATAAAACCAGCTGTAAGTTATTTTTAAAATAATTATTTCTCAAAAATCACTTATTGTCTTGCCCAACATTTTGAATTTAATTCCCATTATAGGAAACTGAGAACCATCTGCAAATGTTTCTGTTTATATACTAAAAGGTTTTAGGTCCTGTAGGTACAATGAGGGAACCAAGGATAACATAAGAGCCCTTCATGGGTTAATCAACCCTTGAGGCACTGCAGTATTAATTATCCATTATTATGCATATGCAATTCCCTGCCAGGGGTGGAAGCATATTTTGTGAATCCTTCTGGAACCGGTTATTTGACAAACAAACTTTGCAGAACCTGTGTCCTGTTTTAGGATTCTTTGAGGGTTGTTTAACCCTTGAATAACCTCCACTGAGTGGAACACTATTCGAACAATGAAGCAAGGGATTACATATTCATAATGCAAAAACCAGTGTTGTGTAGATAGATGTATTACAATAGTATTTATACATAGTAGTATATACTACTTATATACATTAGAGAGTATCGACCTGGAACTCCACCATAGAGCTCCTTGGGTGTGTTTGAGTCAGTTACTGACTCTTAGACTAATCTACCTCATAGGATTGTTACGAGAATAAAATGGAGAGGAGGAAAAGGATTATGCAAACCACCTTGGGTAATTTGTAGGAAAAACGGTGGGATATAAATAAAAGATGACTGTGCTAGCTAGGGTCCCCAACAAAGGGAAAATGTGTTCTATTCCTGAATGATGGCTTCTACCATCAGTGCCATAGGCAGGAGCTTGGGGCCTTCAGTGGGCCACTTTAAATTGCAAGAAGTAAGAGATGCGGAGCATTCTCACAGGCTGCCACAGCCTTTTTGGGTGCCCTGCACAAAGTCAAGATACCAGGCTTGTTGAAGTGGTGGATCTTTTGGTATTTTGGTGGCCACAAGTAATGACAGACCTTCCCACAGACTTGTCACTTAGTGGCAGCGTTGGCATGACACATTAAGTCACTCTACAGGTTAGTTGTTCACAATGTGCCTGACAGATGAGTGGATTCATTATGAGTTGTCTCCCTTTCTCTCCCTCTCAGTCCTCTGGTAAATATTCTAGGGAACTTGGCAGGTGAAGCTACCATTTCTCCTCTTTGCTGTGAAAATAACCCCTTTTGTGGTCACTACAGGTTCTCCCCAACCCCTTCCCTTTGATTTTTTAGAAACTGCTTTTTACAGTCTCTGAAATAACAGCCACTGTTTGCCTCTCCTAGAGTGCTCATTGGAAGAGTTGTGGTTACTCTGTTTTATACACTTTTTTTCACACACTAGACTGCACAAAAATATTTTTGTCATTTGGTGGAGGGCAGATGTCTGGATTTTCACAAGTGTGCATCCCCAAACAGCCAAAATGGAAAGGTGTGCCTAGGAAAGGACTTGGCTTTGGTTTGCTGTCAAAGTGGGTCAGGCAGCAACCACAGACACTTACAAAGAGTGCCCGCAAATAGGTCATTTCATTACTTCGAATTCACTTGACAACTATCAAACTGAGAGCTAGGAAGGGAATGCAAGAGAGCAATGCATCTTTCCTCATGAACCAAATGATGATTTTCCTCCTGAAAGGGATCAAAATAGTGTTCTCCCCTTGTTTCCCAATGACCCCACATTTCCTAGTCTCCAGCTACTTGGGAAAGCAGTGATCATGAGGCTGCCCGCTTTCTGAGAATGCTCATCTGGAGAGAGAGAGAAAAAAAGAAAGGCTTTTCTTTTTTAAATTCTCTGCCAAATTTCTGCATTTGTTTTTAAGCAAATATGCAGCCATGATCCTATGTATATTTCCCTGCTACAATTTGCTGCTTCCTTGTACTCATGATGGGATTGGTTGCCCAGGCTGAGGTGACATGAGAACCAGGTGTGGATACAACAAGCTATAGATTGTCAAGGTGGCTTGTTGCTCACAAACAAGCCACCCTATAGAAGAAATTCCTTTTCAAATGACACAACCACCCACTGTGGCTAGATAACCATGATGGATTGCTTGTAGTACAAACTTGGTCAATGAAACAATGCTGCGAATATTAAAAACAGCTAACGTTATAATACACTTGCTAGTCAGTATGTATTTTATATGTATGTAACAGTATGTACTGTTAATATGAGGACAAGAGGTGGGTAGGTAGGTGACTTGAGAGACTTTTAGAAACTTTTAGAAATATTTTAGATTTATGCAAAATGGTCCTCTGTAATTGTTTATTTTATTGTTTTTACTGTTGTAATTGTTATGGGATGTAATTATGAGCATCTATTTTTATACTACTTTTTTGCAAACTCTTCTGGGTGTCATGTATGGCTGTTGAACAGTATATAAAAGCAATAAATATTTTTGATGCTAGATTGATTTGGAGGTTTCTTCCTCCATGTGGGAAATCAGAAGCACTGCAACGGGACCTCAGAAAAGCCTGCTCTAAATGGTTCATTAACAGGGAGAGTTGGGAACAATGACTTATATGGGAAGACATGAATTCTCTCCAAATACCATAAGGTTTCTGAGTTAATTTTAATATCCTACTCAAGAATACACCTCAAATAGTGTTTTGAAGCAATTGCTCAATTTTTAAAAGAGTGGCGATAGCTTTGTTCTGAAACATTCTAACCAAAATGTTAAAATAGTCTCTAACCAAAGAGTACTGTAATAAAATGCTGTTCTGAGATTGTTCACTGCTTGTAAAATGCACACTGACATAGTTAATCCAAAAGCTCAAATGCTTAGTGCATGTCCTTATCTAAAACATTACGTAATCAAAATTTTGGCTTAAGGGCATTCCTGTTTTATATAGGGCTACAAGGACATGGGGATGTATGTGCAAAGGAATTCAGATACACGAAATTCAAATGACGGACATATAGTTGAAAGGAGTAAGGCGCAAGTATCACTCATTCAGACTTATCTAGATGCATAAAAACTGTTTATTGGGTTATGTTATATTCTGCAGGATCAGAAATAAACCCACGGCAGGGCCGTGTAGATAGCTGGCTCAGTTTTTCATTGCTTTCCATTGAAATAAACAGGCTACAGTCTGGGACAAAGTGTGTGCTCTCTCTTTCACTGGAATGGATCTCTCATCTTTGACACTAAGAAGAGAGACAGTGGCTAGATTTATCTGCCACTGGTGACTTATTTTTTATTTTACTGATGCCTTATATTCCCTATCCTCAGTATAGGCTTTTGTTTATACCTGTGAACAAAAACAAAATAATATCTAAAGGAGAATGCTATGGCGTAGGCAAAACCCGTCCACCAGTGCCAGACATTGGGATCCCATCCACTATTAACAGGAAAATCAAAATACTATCCTCCCTGCAATGTGTGTTCCCGGTCTCCACACATACCTTGCTGGTCGTAACAATGGGCACTTCACTTGTGCAACATTAAAAAGGCCAAGAATAAATGATAGGAGTATAAACAAGAAGAGTTTGTGTCAAGGCAAGAGATCAGGCAAAATAAAACAGTTCAGTCTTTTCCCAATGGAGAAAAAAGCTAGGCTCCCCCCCCCATATATTAGTTTTCCAAATGCAGAAAGATTCCTGTTGCTTTAATGTAGAATAAAAATTAAAAATGTGATTCCCTACTTGTAATCCAAGGAGGACTGTACCACATGAGTTTAGGGACCCTGTAGCTTGGCTAATGGATGTGAAGGATAGATAAACTGTGATTCCATATTGGCATTGTTTAAAGCTTGAAAGCTTTCTGGGCTAGACGCATCCGACTAGGAGGTGAATGGACTAAGCATCTTGGAAAGGAATGCTAGCCAGCTTGTGCAATGCCTTTTACTGTCCAGTAGAGAAAGAATTCAGTTACTTTGCAGACAAAACTATTTGCCTCTTTTCAAGACCACATGAATGGATTGCCTTCCCAACGGCAAGTACATGTTCCATTGCTCCTCTATACTTTGCTTATTAGAATAAACTTGCTGACTCACTTTTGAGGCCTACCACAATTAGTCTCCCTAATTGGCTTACGGAGAGTGCTGCATAAGTGTTTCAGGCTTTTTTAAAAAACTTAACTTGTTTGTTTTATTAAAGTCTTCATATGGATGACTGATCACGAGAAACGTGTTTTTCCAAATCTGCTTATTAGGAAGAGAGGAGTGTAGAATACTAATCAGATCATTCATGAAACTGTATTAGAGACTGCCCTGCCTTTAATGTAAATCAAGGATCAAAAGGGAAGACACCAATATATTCCACAGAGTCCACACAACAAATTCAGCTTTCTATACAGGAAAAAGGCTTTACTAATCTGGTACCAAAGTCATGTAAATCTCAGTTCTGACATTCTTAAAATAAATATTAAGATGCATTTGGCAATTTAACATTGAAACAATCAAACATTAAAATAGCAACATAACAATTCCATAACATTAACAGTCAAGAAAAATAAAAAAGATATTCCTCTGGTGCTGAAAAGACAATGACATAAGAGCTGAGCGCACCTTGAAGCAGAGAGGGGTGCCACAAATAAGGCCCTGCTTTCTCTTGCCAACTGCTTCTTGAAAGAAATTGATTGCTTAGATGAATTTCAACTGGGGTTCAGGTTGGTTTTGAAATGGAAATTGCCTTGGTTGTCCTGCAGGATGACCTTGCTAAGTGGAGAACAAAGGAGAGCATGACTCTGTTAATTTTCTTGGAAACTTTCAATACAATTTGCTAGAGTATTATTATATATTATACTACCCAATAGCTGAAGCTCTTGCTAGTTTGCCAGGTATAGAAATTAGAGCCACTGCATTAGAACAGAATGGGGTGCTAGGGGATTGCTGCTCTGTGCCTTGGAAGCTATATTATGAGGTTCTATAGGGTTCTCTTCTATCCCCCTTGCTGCTCAAACATTTACATGAAGCTGGAGGCAGTTATTTGGAGGTGTAGGCTGAGGTGTCATCAATATGCAGATAATACCCAGTTCTATCATTTTTATCAAATACATGTAAGACAGTGACTATTTTGAATCAGTGCCTGAGCATGGTAATGAATTAGATAAAGGCCAATGAGATTTAACCTAGAAGGGACAGAGACACTCTTTGTAGGCGGATCATCTACCCAGTTAAGTGATTTTTAACTTGTTCTGGAGGGGTTCGCACTCTCTCTAAAATCAGCTTTCGGGGTGCTCTTACATCCAGCATCGTCACAAGAAGCACAAGTGGACTGGGTAGCATAGAACAGAACAGTGATAACAATGTCCTTATCTGGACAAAAATAGTCTAGCTAGAATTATACATGCACCAGTAACCTTTCATCTGGATTAATGCACTATACATAGGGCTGCCTTTTTAAGCAGTCCAGAAACATCAGCTGGCCCAAAACAGGGCAACAAGATTGCTAATAGGACTTCCCTACATGATCATAGTATGCCAGTACTTTACCCTCTGGCTACCAGCCCATTTATCTGAGCAGTGGTATTAACATTCAAAGCACTTGAGGGCTTAGAGCCAGGTTACCTGAAGGATGATCTCTTCCGGTGCATACCTGCCTGAACCATCTTCATGAGCACCTCTTTGGGAATCCTGGCAAAAGTGAGGCAGGTAGCTACTAAGAGGACCTTTTCTGTGTGGCACACTGGTAGTAGAATGAACTCCTTAGAGGGGCTCTCCTGGACTTATATTGCTTTCTCAGTGCCAGGTGAAGCCTTATTAGCTCTTAAGCTTGCAAAATGATGTTAGTTTATTTTAAGATTTTTTAAGGGCCATGCCACAGATTTTTACATTATTTATATTTTATTTTATTTAAAAAATGTTTTTACAATGCTCTTGTAGTCCCCCCTCTCCCCAGTTTTGTTTCATGAACAGCCTTGAGAGATTTGGTGGGATAGAGTGGGTGGGATAGAAATGCAATCAGTTTACAAAAGCTAGAATGTCCCACAATCAAGAATACATGTAGTTGGCCAAATCCCTCCAAGCACAATGAACACTTCCTGCAACAACTGAAAGGGATCAGATAAAGACAACTGATACATGTCCACAGGGATTGTGTCCATTGGTTCCTGAGTCCAGTTCAGAGTGTTCATTTTAAAAGTCTTATATGGTCTTGGTCTTTTACTGCAAAAAATACCTGCTCCCTGAGTCAGTGCCAGACTTCCAGGAGGGACATGAGCAGCAGGGTGGTATCATGGCTTGCTCTGAGGACAGATCAGAACTAAATATTTGAGTCTGGACAGCCATTGCCTCCTGCTGATGTAACTCTACAAATGGACAGCAACAGCAGCAGGGGTGGTGGTGCTTGGGAAATCAGTAGGGAAAGGACCTTTGGGTCTGCGGGCCCTTGGCTGCTTCCCAGTTTTGCCAACCTCCAACATTATACTTGTCCCCTATGAACCTAACTGTGAGGTGAAATCTTATCTTGCCTGTGTGCTCTCAGTGTCTAAAGGAGAGCCAGTGTGGTGTAGTGGTTAAGAGCATGGGACTGGGACTCAGGCGATCTGGGTTCTAGTCCCCGCTAAGCCATGGAGCCAACTGGGTGACATTGGGTCAGTCACAGACTCTCAGCCCAACCTACCTCACAGGGTTGTTGTTGTGCGTATAAGATGGAGGAGGAGAATGATGTAAGCTGCCTTGAGCCCTTTGTAGGAAAAAGGCAGGATATAAATCCAAAATAAATAAATAAATAAAGTGGATGGTGATATGGAACAGGGCATTCTTTACTACCGCAGTGGTAGTAAAACTGCGGATCTCATTATATAGGGAAGTTCATCTGGCTCTTTCTTTATTGGGTTTGGACACTAGGCCAAAGCAATCCTTTTCTGGAAGGTTTTTGGGTTGCCTTAATAAGCCTCCTGTACCTTTGCTGCCATACTCAATTTTACAGCCAGTTAGTGTTTATGAGCAGTTTTTAAAATTGGGTGTGTTTAATAGATGGATAATATTCTTTTCAGCACATCATATTAACCACCATGAAAGTTTTCACCTTTTTAGTTAGGAACTTTCATGCTGCCCAAGTTATCTTTTAAGAAGCTCAATAATGTACAGAGTAAGACATAGTTAAGCCTCTTTGATTTTAATGGTATGAGATATACTTTACTTCATTTTGGATCAGACTGTGATTTCTCATGGTTATGTGCCTTTACTCTAATTATTCAACTTGTAGTAATCAATATTTAGTTTCTCATCTTCTGCTTTTTTCCTTAAAGTAAATTCACTGCATATTTTACAAGTAGACACCATTTTAGTAGCATGACAATTTTTTACATTCTGTTCTACTGACTATCATGAACACAAATCAGCCAAATTAGGCATTTCTTAAAAACCAGCCAGAGAAGGCAGTTGAGTCTCACTGATTTCAGTGGAAGAGATTTAAACACATGTGCTTTATTCTCCTAATGAAACCAATGGGACTTTAAACTTTTGAATTTTGACTGGAACATGTCTTACAAATAAGCCTAAGGAGGTGAGCTTGCATGTGAAAACCCACATTAAGTGCAATACTTAGTAGAGCTTAAATGAAGGCGAGACAATAATAATTCACTTACCAACCTATGCCATATTTAAAGATGATGTTTTCAATAATGATGTTAATTTTTACCAGAAATAAGGCAGCTGCTTAAATCTAACAACACCCCCCCACACACATTACATGTAAATACAGTCATTATAATATGCCCTTTCCACCCGCCTAGCTGATGCTATATAAACAGACAAAAAAATAATCTGGTCCAGCAGGGTTTCCTACAGTATTACAGAAAGGGGAAGGCAATGACCTTAGAGTACCTTGGAGACATGTTGAGCAAGTTTTCTACAAACCAAGCCCTATGTCCTGAGGTGACACTGTCTGGAAAGCAGAGGCTCCCAATAACTACTTAGCAACCACCAAGAGGTATTTTCTGTCCAGCTTCTAATTTAGATAAATACTTGTGTGTGCGCGTGCTTAAAACAGCAATAAAAAACTCAACTCAGGTGCTTTAATCCCAGCTTTCCCAAGAAAAAGACTGCCTTTAAAAAGGGTAGGTGCTTTTTTTTGCCTTCCCTTCTGGTATGGAGCCTGTCCTTGTTAATAATATTTTGACCCTCTCCCTTAATTAACTAAATCTGTTCTGTCCCTCAGTCACAGTACATGTGACTATGCATTTCTACCAGTCAACACCCTTGAACTGAAGAGGCTTCCTTCCAAGTCAACATGCATAGGTCAACCAGACTTCATATACAACCATGGATAATTTCCCCATGGAAACTCCTTAATCTTAATGGAAATATCACCTCCATATAATAAAATTCTTCTTCATGCTCTGCCTCTTTCTCATACATTTATCAAGGCAAATATTAGATGTCTCAGGCGCGCAAGCACACAATTTCTACCTTGATTTTTTCCCCAATATCTAATACATCTTAAGTTCCCCCATAATTTGTGCCAATGCTTGGGCTGGGTCTTCCACTCTTCCATGAAAACCCAAACCAACCTGCGGCTACTTTCTTGTTTATCAAGGTGTGTTGACTCCCTCAGGCCCACAGACCAAATCTGACTCAGCTGGGGGCTTCTATCCAGCCTCTTGGGAGTGCCCCAGATGGTTCAGGCCCATCCTTGCCCCACCCCTTTACTCTAGCATTGGATGGTTTTCCAGCTGTTGCATGTTTCCTGTTCTGAAAGACTGCAATGCTTCAGTACTGACAATAAGCAGTTTATGGTGCAACCCCACGCATGTTTAGAAAAACAGGATTTTCCTCGCTAAACACAGACAGCATTGTGCCTACCAGGCCAATTTGCTCCATTTTGGGTTTTAGTCCTATTCCTTTTGCCTGCAGCTTCGCTCACCCTCAGTATACCACCCATCCTCCAAACACCCTTCTTTCCTCGCTTCTCTGATACTGAATTTGTCCTTCCGGCGGTTCCCTGCCCGGAATGTACACAGATGGCTAACTCGCGGTCCTGTCTATCCCTAAAGACGCCCCACGCACCCTTCCTGAGAGATACTCCTTCCTCAAACCACAATCACATAAATGGAATGAGAAAGTGTAAAACGAAACCCGCCACCCAGCTACCTCTTATCTCTTCCTTCCCTTACGCCTCCCCACCGAAACGCTGAGCAACAGCTGTTCCAAACGCAGGCGAGACCCCCGTCAAAGCGCTGACAAAGCTCGCGCTGAAACCTCCCCCACTCACGCGCAGGATGGCACCAAAAAGGGGGCGGGGTAGGAGGTGAAGGAAAGGTGTCTTGAGGACATTCCCTCTTCCAGCGTCCAATCAGGCCGGCGCTGCTGCCGCTGCTCCTGCAGCAGCAGCTGCGCCGCCGTGCAGACTGGGACTTGTAGTTCTCTTTTCATTATTGTAGCCATTTTGTGAGGAGGACTACAACTTCAGTCCTGGATAGAGAGAGCAAGGGCGATTCTCAGGCACCACACGGAGCTGTTGTGGCTCCCTTCCGCACGCGAGGCTCAGTCCTGGGAAAGCAACCTCACTAGCCCTTGTGCTCCTCGGACAGGAGATGTAGCAGGACGAGGCGGCGTGAGCTCGCCAGGCGAGGGCAAGGGAGGACAATTAAAGCGCTTTACAGACACAGAAAGGAGAACGGCTGGCGACAGAGCGTGTCGGGAGCGCAGGGGCTATCCTCAAATTCGTCGCCAGGATTACTTGCCGGGCAGCATTAGCTGCACTTGGTGCCTCCGGCTGGAAAAGCCACCGAGAGTGCTTCTACGAGGACGGAAGGACGATAGAAACACGACTGTGAATGTGCACCGGGCTCCTTTTGCTGCCGCTGCGGGGACGCAAAGAGTGCTATTTTTGCGGCGCTTACCACGTTAAGAATTGAAGCTAAGCCCTAACCCTGCTCTCTCCTCCTTCCTTCCCTTTCTGGACTCCCACCCTCCGAACTGTCTCCTGCCTGGCTGGCCGCCTTTCTGTATACATACATGCATACATACATAATATATATTTTTTAAAAAAAATATCAGGCCATTGAAAGTTGCTGTTGTAAAGCTGCTCTCATTGGTTGTGTGTATGTGTGGGAACTGAAGAAGCAGAGATTCATACAGTGTGTGCAGCCTTCATTGCTGCTGGAGTTGTCGGTGCTGCAGCAGTAGAAACGTGACTTCCAACATTAAAAAAAATCTCCCCCCTTTAATCCTCCCACTCTCCCTTTTTCAAGATGTAAAATACACCTCGGACATTACGGGCCTACGGATCTCTTTGGTATCTTGGGAAAGGAAAAGGGGATAGCAAGGGTGTCTTTGTGCGTGTGTGCGTGCGTGCGTGTGTGCGTGTATGTTTAGGGTGTAAAATCATGAATGTTCCTCTAAAGTGATTTTTTGGGGGGAGGGTTTGCTTTGCATTTGCCTTTTTTTTTTCGTTTTTCGACCCCGCCACCCTACATATTTTGGATTTATTGCAAGGAGAATTGCATTGTGTGCGAAGAAAATCGGATTATAAGAAACCACTACAAACAAGAAACAAACAAAAAAGGTTCCTCCACCTCCCCAAATTGGTTGCGGCTTTTAATTCATGAAGCGATTGTCCCCATTTGTAATCACAATCTGGATATCAGAATGAGCAAAGAAAGACCGAAGAGGAATATAATTCAGAAGAAATACGTAAGTGATTAAACCGTATTATTTGTGCCTGAGTTTTGGAAATATCAGTGAATGTCAAGTTTATAGCTAATGGTGGATTTATAGAATACCTAGAAATGTTCGGTTTTATCTCCTCTGGGAATGGGGGCGAATCTCTAAAGCCTCTTTTAATTGAAAAGCTGGTTTAAAAAACAGATTCGTGTAACGATACCTCAAGTGAATAAATGTATTGACCTCAAATGACACAATCATAATCTAGTTTTAGAAGATGGAAGACACGAAGCTGGAGGGGCTGCTACGATAATGCAACTAGACTGCTTTCTCAAGCGGATTTACTAATATTTCACTTTGCATGCAAATGGCTACAGTATTATAACATATATTTAGGGGTTTGCGAAAGCACTATGGTGGTTCAACGAAAATGTTAACTTGAAGTCGAACGTCTGGTTATGGCGAGCTTGCTGCTTCTATTCCCATCAACTCTGGCATGTATTATCGTTGGCTTATCTGGCTTGTAGTTGAGAATCATGTTACAAGGAATGTAGTTGCAATAAGGCCTGACTTCAATATTGAGGGAAATGGTCTGAGGGTTTGCTGATTTTGTGCGTGTTCATGGAAAAATAGCTATTAACATCAGAATGATGGTTTAACATTTGAAGAGCCGATCTTCCAGAGTATGCTCTGTCAGCCGCTTAATCTCTTGTAATTGTATAAATATGTAGAAATTACCGTGGTCCTGCCTTATTATTTTGCTCTACCTATGTTTTGGTT